GGTATTGCAATCTTCTCTAAAGAAGGGTGTAGGTTGCGCAATAACTTATACATCTCATTACTCATTACCTTCATTCTCTGTATAATCCCTACAAAGCCATGAATACCTACAGGGCGCCCAAACCTACCGTAGTAAACCCCAAACCCTAGAATCCCTTGCTCCATTCAATTTTGCGCTTTTCCATGTCACTCACAATTTCCAGGGCAATATCCATAACCCTAAACCCTAAACTCTAGTAAGCCCTAAGTTCAGTACTGCCCCCCCTCAGTAACAGTTGGATAATAGATATAATATGGTTATACATAGCCCTTAATAAGACCCCTAATATAGACTGTTACTGGGATGGGGCAGTACCCAAGCCCTAAGCCATGTTCAGCATGCATCCTAAAGGCCACGTTACGCCAACAATCCGTACGAGACTGGCTCGCCGGCATTGCCGGAATGGACTGCCGAGGCGATCAACTCCCCCCTCCGGAGAATCGAGTGTTGGGTTTAGGGTTTAGGGAAATATGAGCCCGATACATGCTTGCTGGGAGCATACTGGGAGTTTTCATTCGGGGTTGGGAGTTATATTGTCAGGTGGAGGGGATACACAGGAAAGCTTTGGTCCCGCTTCCTTCATTCCTTCATCTCATACAAGGCCCTGTTATGGTACTTTCCCAAAACGAGCGAACTCAAATTAGACTCCAACATCTTATGATTCTTATCGGTATTTCTCAAGACGGGAGCCCCCCGATTTTGGGAAAACCTCCATATGTGTGGCATCTGCGGCTGTGTTTCTCAGGAGGCCTTTCAGCGAGCGAGCGGCCTTTTGCCGCAGGCACACAGTGGGTTGTGGGTATTCGCGGCTTCCTGGTTAGGGCAGGAAGAGGTAAGTAAGTAAGAACGGATCGAGGAGGACGTTTTTTTGGCAGATGTTGGGTTCGAGTTCGTTGGGTGGTATACTGACAACTTCTCTCCCTTGTCGTTTTCTGCCCCTCCCCCCTGGCCCTGATCCCTCAACTCTCAACGCCGAATCCTCTGCCCTCAGCCCGAAGTCTCTACCCTTCTTCATACCTTGAGGCCTAAATCCCAGAACCCACATTAGCAACCCTGAAACGGGTTTAGGGTTTACTATTATTATGACTATTGTACTTATTAGATTTCTTATTAGTATCATTTCGACTGTTATATGGTTACTATAACTGCTGCTGCTACTACTACTACTACTACTACTACAATTACTACTACTACTACTACTACTGTCTAGGGCCTAGGGTCCCCTCTTCCTCAACCTTTCGCAGCTCGCTTCTTCGGCGCAGCGGGGCGCCATTGCCACCAGCAAAGGCTCACATGCCGGCTTCGAGGCGACCCGACGGGAAATTGGGAGCATGGAGCTCTTGTGACTGCAGGGACTTCATACGTATTTGAATTTAGGGCTCAGGGTTTAGGCCCTATGGGTATTAAAAAAATGGGGCGTTTTGGTGGTGACGATGAAGAGCATGATTGGGACGGTTCTTCGGTGCGTGTGCCACGTCTTGGAACATTGCCTGATTGCTATCACGTATCTCATTTCGATATCCGGGATGCCTGATAAGTTCCAATTCAAACGTTCGCCCGTCTCATGCCATCGAAACAGAACATAAATGGAGGGCTTCAGTCATGAAAGCGCAAAGGTGAGGCAAAAGGAGATCCCCTAACCTCCTTGTGGGTGCATTATTGCCTACCGCGGCTGGTTTCCGATGATCCATACAGGAGTAAGGATATGCCTCGAGCTTACTGGTTCTGAATAGTAAATAAGGGAATATAATCCCTATAAAATGTTCCCTTACTCCCTATTATGCCCCAGTATGGGAACGGGCCAATACGGATACAAGTTACGCCCATCGCTCCCAGACTGAGGTCATCATGAGGGATCATCCCGTGCTTTTGGGAGTAGGGTTTGGGTTTTTTGGTTTGGGCTTTAGGGTTTAGGATCTGGGGTTTAAGGGTTTAGGGGTTAGGGCTCTAGGTTCAGGGAAGGTCTCCTATCCCATTTTGCCTTCGGGAAGCCTTTGCCAGAGGCCAGAAAAGGCGCCCCATCTGAGGGGACTTTTGGGGACCTTGGGGAGCCTGAGGGGGCCCGGGCGTCCTACTTTCCCTGAACAGGGGACCCCAATACAGACCCCGAAATATCTTCATTTAACCGCACAAAGGTGCCCCCTAATTTTGGGAAACCCCCATGTATGGGGCATTCTTAGGGAGTCCTTAGCTGCGAGTTGCGAGTCTGAATCGGCCAGGTTTACACAGGCTTTGCCGGCATCGCGCGACAGCCTTGGAGATTTATTCGGCAAAGGTATAGCCAGGGGGGGTCTTCTACGCGTCATGTAGGATTTAGGCTTTAGGGATATTATTCCAGTAGTGGAAAATCAAATGGAACAGAGCATGGAAAATAACATGGAAACTGGGACGGGGGCGGGCTCAAAGAATATTGTCGTTTCTCGAGATGGAGGGGGGCGCTGAGCAGCCCCTTAGCGAAATGTGGGAATTGCCTAACGGACTGTGGTAGCCATGGTAGCCCTAAGCCCTAAACTCTATAACCTAAACCCATCAGCAACTTGGTTCAGATAATCTAGCCGCGGGCTTGACACAAGTACGGCATGTCATGCCCCTTATGCCATACCAAAATCAGAAATCATTCCGCGTATGGTGTGGCCGGGGATGCCACCGAACTCAAGTTTGGGTCTTGTACTGAAGCTAGCTTTGGTCTTGAGAAGACTCGCTTTCACTGAAGAATCAGCAACGAAGTTCGAACAAGTACCAGATGAGCGTGGAGAACCTAGAGCCCTGTGCCCCAAAATGAGCTCTCTATGACTGTTTGCGGCGTTATTCCGCATTTTCAGTTCAGACATCTCCTGGTTGCTTTCATTTTTCTATTTGGTACAACTCTGTTTGCATACCGCTCTCTGGTCAATGCGGTCAGCTCATAGCTGTAAGCTAGAAAGTCTCAAGCCGCCAGTACCACAAATGAATAGGATATTCACTGTTGATTCTCGTCCCAGAGGGTACCAGACTACCAGACGACAGGTATCATGAAGTGGCTGTCGTGTGTGGTTCAATCAAACCATCACCATCAACAACCCCATGGGACGAGGCTTTACAGTCCTGCGCTCCTTTTTGAGGCTTGCGTTTTACCGCTTTGCCTGCCATTGCAGAGAGCACCTTGGAGCATAGGGTAAAGGTACCCCCACTCTGATCCAGTTTTTTTGGGGGCTGTAAATATGGCAGGTTGTCAGAATTATGGCCCTTTTTCGCTACTTGGGGTACCCCAAAAAGGGACAATGGTTCTAACAGCCGACCACACGCTTATTCAAAAGCCCCAAGCCCCACAGCAACCAGGTGATAAACTGGGGTTTGTGCTGTTTATGTTTAGGTGTTCGGGTTTCGGGTTGGTTGGATCGAGGATATTCGAGCCTGCAGTTCATGATCATGGGGAAGTAAACGCCTTATCTGGTTCATTGTGGGATGTAGCTTGAAATTCTGTTGTGCCTGTTGTGCTTAATTACCAAGCCAGGAAGATAAATTGTTTTTTGATAGAACCGGCAATGGGGACCCACCAAACACCTTAAATGTGCATGAATCTAACCCAAGCTTGGAAGTATTGGGCCTTGATCCTTAACTGTAGGTCCGTTCTTAAGGGCTGTCACAGAGTTCAAGTGGGATAGGGATGACATTTTCTTTGGGGAGTATTCCTGGAGACCCTCATTTTTACAAATTACACTCTCCTTGGGGAGTAATTTCAAGGGAAACTGTCTTTTTTTGTCACCCCTGAACATACCATTCTTGAGCCGAGACCCAAGCCTGCGAGCCATTGGGTATCTCTCGTTAAGCTTGGCCGTTGTAGGTTGTTGCCAACTGTTATTCAGCAAGGGCAATAAGGTGTAAAAGGCCCCCCTCAACAATCAAACAACACAACTCCCCTATCCTGCTGATGCTTGGTGGCCGAGGATTCGCAAAGATCAATCCTCTGCGGAAGATTTTGCCCGGAGGGCGCCCTTTGTCTGCATCCTTGGACGATGGGCCCATCCATCCAACATTGGGGCAGATCACCAAGAACCCCTCAAAGAGATAAACATGCAAAACCCTCTAGGAAAGTATCGAGAATTGCATCGAATGGGAATATGGGGTGGTAGGGTTGATGCTAGAAGGCTGCATGCATGACACTAGAATACTAGAATACCACAAGCCCAGACACATGCAAGGCTCCAGGAAGTAGAGCCCCCAACATTGTACCCTACACTACTATTGGACATCTTCCATTCTTGTAGGCGTCCCAAACCCAAGCCCTAAACCCAGACCCCTGGGAGGCTTCAGAAAGAAGAGCCCCCAACATTGTACTCCTTACGGCTATTGGGTACTTTCCATTCTGTAGGCTTTTCAAACCCCAAACCCTAAGCCCGAAACCCTGAAGCCTAAATTCTAAACCCTAAGCCCGGAAACCCTAAACCCCACTCCCAAACCCAACCATTCCCAAACTTTAAACATGGAAATCCCACGCCTGCCCTGAGGTTTGAAGTGGCCAGTGCCTGCTTGAAGAGCAAACCGAGGCTCCTCCGACTGAAAGAGGTCGGGGTTCAGGCGTTTGGGGTCTGGGCCAGTCTAGGCTTTAGATTTTCAGCTGTATTTCAGATTTTCAGTTTAGGGTTGAACGTCTAGGGTCTAGGGTTCTCACCCAAGCTGACTGACTGTGGCTCAAACAACTCTAGTATTTTTGGGGTCACCCCAGAGCAAGCTGGTGCTGCATATGCTGCACGACCTGACTGTAGCGCAAGCCCGCTTCCAAGAGACTCAAGATTGTACAATTAAAAGGTGGAGAATGTTTTGTTGGCTTTGGAGCCACAACTGCGAGACCATCTTTAAGAGGCAGCCGCCCGGAATCCTAAATCCCAAACCCTCAATCCTAAACCTCAGTCCTTGGCTCAAGCCTCCTCCAAGTCAAGACTCTGAAGCGCTGCAGTGTGACCCCACGGCCTTTGGCAGTCATGTCCCTGACCTCTGAAGCCTTCGTGTTGGCAAAGCCTGCGGCAGGCGTCGTTGCTCCAGCGCCCCTCCGCACCTCTTCGCAACGAAGCGCTGCTGGTGCCGAGGGTTCTTCAGGAGGTCTCAGGACCTCCGGGGTCGTCCTGGCTGCCGCAGCCCTGCGGCGAGCATATCGGGGGGCCTCCACCTCTCGGCGGGCAGAGAGAGGCACCACGGTGGTCAATGTCGACTCGGAGGATGCCGAAGTGCTGGCCAAGGAGGCTGCGAAGCTTCGCGCCGAAGCAGCCCAACTGGAAGCTGAGCAGGAAGAGCTTCGAAGGAAGGAGCCGCAGGCACTTTTCAAGATTCTGGACACGGATGATTCTGGGGCACTCGATGCGCAGGAGTTGCAGAAAGGCGTGAAAGAGGTGATGGGCAGCGAAGTCACCGACGAACAGGTGCAGGCCTTGGACCTGAACGGTGATGGCATCATCCAGCCAGCGGAGCTCGACTTCAACGCGGTGCAGACTCTGCTGAAAGCGTTTCGCAAAGAGATGCAGACGAAGGAGGAGGCCGAGTGCACTGCCGCCTATGCGTCAAAGGAGGAAGAGCTTCTCCGAAAAGAGTGGGAAGAGTTCTTGGCAAGCCGGCCGCCTCGAAATGAGGATACCGGGCTCCTTACACGCATTGGCTCAATCCTGGCTTATGCGCTGCCGCTTACCGATGCACTTCGCTTTGGAATGTTTCTCTTTGCCGCCTTCCCTGCCATCCAGCCTCTCCTGGTCAATGCCTTGCCTTTTGGCCTTGGTTACCTCATCCTCTTCTTCAGCATGCAGGCCTTGGCCACAAATCGAGACCTTCCGGCGCTGCTTCGCTACAACCTGCGACAGGCGATCACGCTCGATATCGGCCTGGTCTTCATTGGCCTAGTCGGTGGCCTGCTGCAGGGCAGCGCTGTCCTTCTTAACACACCGCTGCCGCTCGAGCTGGTCGGCATCAGCAGCACAGCCATCTACTTCGCCGTCACGAGCGCATGCATCTACTCCATCATTGTGAGTCTTATGGGCAAGTTCCCGAAGGGCCTTGGTATCATCACGGAGATTGCAGAGTTCCAGATCTTTGACACAGCACCTAGCGATGGCGACGGCGAGGATACTTCCAAATATTTCGACCAGATCTTTAAGAACCGACCAGACAAGCAGGACGAGGAGAAGTGAAGTGTTTGAGCTGTTGCCTCAGCATGGCCCTTTCCCACCTGGACCAGCTAAGGGATCCCTAAAGCACGGTCCCCCAGAGGATAACCTAGGCCTAGAGGGCTCCTTGGAGGATCCCTGAGCCGCTTCTACAGGGATCCCTGTGCCAGTCAAGGTGGCTGGCATTTTCGAGGCTGAGCATATCTTTTAACTCAGTAATGTGTTCAATCGTGTTGGCAGGAGCACAGAGCTCGGAAGGTTGTGAGCGTCGTGCCTGAGTATTTGTTGAGATCTGGATATCACTTGGGAGGCTTCTGTTCATGCGGCATGAAGCATCATCCAGAGATATTGTAGTCCTTACCCTAGGGACCCCCAAAATGGCTCCCAACCTTCTGACGGCATCATGGCGAGGTGGCCTGTATACAGAGCTATAGCCAATCGCCGCCACAACATGACTAATACGAATCATTACTAATCAATAATGCTAGTCCTGGGCCAGCGAGCCTCCATGTGTGCATCCCCAATCAGCCAAACTCCTCTGAAACCATGCTGTTGTGGAATCCAGGTTCGCTGATTGTACAGGTCGAGGTGCCAGGAGCAACGCCTGTTGAGGCAGGCCCCGAAACATCGAAGCATTCCTTACTGTCTTATATATATACAAAGATATTTGTACACTTTATAAACCGTAAACCTTCATAGCTTGTGGGCCTGCCCCTATATGTTTGCATAGCTTTCCTGAACGGGCCGGCTTCACCCACACGTTCAGGCACGAGGTTAAAAAAACAATGTAATCTTTCCAGGCCCCATGATGGGCTTCCATGTAGATTTAGGGGCGTGAAAACGTCTCTTTGTTTTTCTTAGCAAGGCACTAGCCTCCAACCGCAATCATTCCGGACGTAGTATCAGTGTAAAATAAGGGGAAACTCATGACCCTAAACCTCAAATCTTGTATGGGCGCAGGGGGACGGGAGGTTTTTGTACAGTAGAAAAGGATTTATTTGTGGGTTTCCATCATTCCTTGCTTCGATTTAGGGCTTAGGCTTTAGGATTTAGAGCTTTTGCTGGCAACTTCTTGGCCTAAAGTTATATCCTGCTGCCATGGAAGCCATAATAGTGTGTTTCTGGGTGTAAGCGCAAGGTGTGGTTCCTTTCTAGGGTCCTTGTCACAAGTCTCCTTTGTTTTGGGAGGCCCCGCATTCATACTAGGGTTTAGGGTCTAGGGGTTAGTGTTTAGATGTTAGAAATCCTGCGCGACTCTGGCATACTGGAGGACCAGAACTCCCGGGGTATCGGGTACTGAGTGTCGCGCAACCGTTGTAGCATGCAAGCGTCAGTAGAGTAAGAACAAGCATGTGAAAGAGAGATGACAGAAAGTATAAGTCTATTGGACCTTAAGCAGGATGCGATAGCCAGAATCTACAGATGGCTGATGGACACAGGTCCTGCCTGTCCGTAAAGTGACTACAGTAACAGAACTCCAGGTCATGCTACAGTACCATAATTCCAAGTCATTCATATTTTGGTCCTTAAGCAGGAGTGGTATTGAGGAGGTACACGTGAACAACAACTGCAAAAGGTCAACTTGACAGGGAAAGACGCAATGCCCCACAAGCCCCAAACCTTGCATGCCAATCCCCAACATATTCAAAGCCCCATGACCCAGGTCTTGTAAAGTTCACGAGGCTTCTTGAATTGACAACATCCTTCAGACAATCACAGTCGCCGGAGGATTTCTTGCGAAGGTCCACTGAGGTCTCCTAAACCTCAACCCCAAACCACAAATCTTAAACCCTAAACGCCAAACCCTCAACCCTAAACCCGAACCTCTGTGCCCGAAGGTCCAATGAGGTCTCCTTCTTCTGCGGTACTCCTGGGTTTCTCGCCATCTCCTGTGCTGTGCAAGGGACTCGGAGTCTGCAGTGCGAATTGAAACAGGAACACACGGAGGGGGTTTGCATTGGGGTCCACCTATTTTGGAAACTACCACACCATGCAGGGATGCTGCAATAGGGGCTTCAACAGTTGTCAGATGGTACTCTCCTCAAGACCCAGAAATCGGAGTTTCTGCACCGAACAGGATCCCTTTTAAACACCGCTGTTATAGTCCTCATTGTGCGCGGTACCCCCAAAAAGGGTCCCCGATTTAATTGTTGAACCCCCGCCAAATTATACCCTCATGATCTTATAGTGATGTTGGGTTGCCTACCTCGCATCCTGAATGAAGGCCTAATCTGAAACTCTGATTCCCCGCTCATAGCAGGTGCCAGGCTCTTGGCGACTTGGATGGTTGCAAGCGGCACCACACTTAGCAATTCGAGGGGCGAGAAGTTTAGGGTTTAGGGACAAGAATGTTAAGATCATGCCTTTGAAGCGGGGTTTCCAATAGTTGGGGGCCTCCTTCCGTGGGTCCAGGTACTCGAAAATTTCGGTAAACATTTTCTGGGTATCCTATTCATGGAAGCCACCTGTATGTCAACAGAATGTTCCGTGTTCCAGGCCCTGAGATTAAACCCTGAGCCTCAGAGTTTAGACAAGCGCTTGCACTGATCATGTTTTGTGTTTAGGAACTGAAGCTTCCGTGCTCATGAATCTTGGCGTCTCAGAGTTGAGATGCCACAAAGTATGGTTGCAAGAAGTAGTGGGCCATATTGGAGGTTCCCTAAATCCTAAGCCCTAAACTATGGGAGTTTCAATGCTGGAGCTTCCTGGTTTTGAGGTTTCGGGTTCTCGGTTGACAATTTTCTTTGGGATGGGTAGGGGGTTTGGATTGAAGGCTTTGGGTCTTGATTACAAAAATGGAAACACACATTTGGGTTTAGGGTTCAGGGGTGAGGGATTTGATTAGGGTTCGAGTTCAGGGATCATTTTGCGACTGTAGGTGCAGCAGCTTCTTATGCTCCTACCCTCTTCTTGGACAGAGCGAGAAGCAAAATCTGAGCACAGGATTGTGCTACGTTTCAGGGATGAATGTTTAGGGCGAGACAAGCCCAACCCGGGCTCCTACACAGAGGCGTTTTCCGGAGCAAAGGCCTAAACTGGTACTCTAGGGAAAGTAGAGTCTAAACCCCTTAAAGGGGTTATACAGGGAATTATCTAGGGTACTATTATAGGGATTCTTCATTAGGGGGGGGGGCTAACAATTGGCAATATTAGGGTTTCAGGTGCTTTGTACAAGTATGGTTTCGGGTACGTCAGACTGGTCTTGAAATGACATTGGTAGCTTTGGAGGCCCTGCGCCCTAAACCCTACACCCTAGTCCCATGTCAAGGCACTTGCGCAGCCTCCTGGATTGGAGCAGCCTCGCGTGGTGCTCATATTCATGAAGGCTTCTGAGTATATAGGGCTTAGGGTTTGGTGTTTAGGGTTTAGGGTGTCGTTAAGGAGAAGTTCCAGTGGGCAGATATCAGGTGGTACCGTTATAGAAGGGCTGCATAGATCTCATATGAGCCCGCTGACCTTATACGAGCATGACGTCATGAGCCTTACATGCGGCTACCACCGTCCCGCAATCCCACCCAGAACTTTCCCGGATTGAGGCCATGTGAACACACCTGCCAAGTTCCCTAAAGTATAAACCCCCTAGACATGTAAAATACTGTTGGGCGCATAAGTCCCCGCAACTTAGCTACGGCCACGGGCCCTTTTTTTGGTTTGGGACTTGGGACTGCTACAATTTTTGCTCAAATGAGTTTACGAAGTAGCATCAGGAGTCCTGAAGGAGGAGGTGGAGTATCCGTGACATCAGAGTTCGCAAAAGAGCCCTCCGTAGTAACCCTTTTGGCATTCCTTGAAATCGATGTATCATCATCTCAAATTGTCACTAGGTCACCCCATATTGCGAGGCTCTCACATTAGTGGTAGGCCGGCTTTCTGGGATCAGGGAGCCCCTTCTTAGCTTCATTTCCACAGTTGAACGCCTTGAGCCAACCTAAACCAAGTCCAAAACCCAAAGCGCTAGTCAGGATTTCGGGTTTAGGATTTAGGCTGAGAATGATGGGTTCAAGCTCACTGTAGTTTGCCATGACTTGATCCTAGAATCGCCCGGGCTGCAAGGTCTGAACACGTCATACATGTTGCTTTGCAGTCAATTACGAATTGCAGCTTGGTTTAGGGTTAAGGGTGTTGGGTACAGATAAGTGGGGAAATGCCCCAAACAAGGTCGTAGCTGGGTAGAACTCTATCCACCCGCTTATAGCCCCGCTTGGAACTAGAGCTGGACTTCCAAGCAGTCTCTGACTTGTTCTTCCGACCAAGAGCTCCGCAGTCATGAAAACCTTCATGAGATTACGTCCCAAAAGTGCAAACTCAGATTGCATCTCTGAAAAATTCAGAGCGGCATGGCACATCCCTATGCATTCCCACAGATCCCGTGCATATCCCTATTTGCTGCTTGAATACCCCAGTCTTTAAGATAATCCCTCGTGAACCCTAAGCCCCCTAAACCCTAAACCCTAAACCCTAAACCCCTAAACCCTAAACCCCAAACCCTAAACCCCAAGCCCAAAACCCTAAAGATGCTTCGCCAAGGCTCTGAGACACTCGGAAGATGAACTTCTTTTCGGCCGGGCAGGCTACCTCTACTCCTTGCTCTGGGTGAGGCCTTAGGGAGGGGTTCAGGGATTAAGGGCGTAGGATTCAGGGGGATTCAGGGTTTAGGGTTGAGGATCTGAAGCCTGTTGCAAAAGGGGGATTAAGGGCTTGGGGTTGGGATGTAGGATTTAGAGTTTTGGGGTGCAGGACGCGACGTGTAGGTGTACGAAGCAAAGATGCCTAGATCCTAGAAAGAGTATGATAAAGAAGGCGGTGGGTGAAGATTGGAGAGAATCCCTAAACTCGAAACCATCAAAATGCGGATCCTCCTGAATCAAGAAGCTGAAGATTGAAGCGGCCCTCTTGTAGAACTGTAGGCGGGTTGCTAGGTCGTCCGGTGAATGTCATGGGTCTGTAGCAAGTGGACGCCTGCCAAAGTTTCTGCAATAAGTTCACAGTGAGAGCCCCTCCATAGAAAGTTTGTGGAACGCCTT